GCGACGTGTTGGTGGAAGATCTCTAAAGTGTGTTCATCATGCTTCAGAGATCTCCCCCACACTTATTCTCGTACCTATTTTATTTGATAAAGAGAAACAAAAGTGGAAACAAATAAGGGCTCTTTCAGTTCAAAACACTGGGGAGCCTTAATTATTTTATTTTTATAATAATTTTTTTAAGTGTTCACCTAACTTGTATTTTTTAGCATAACTCAAACAAGGCTAGAGTAAGCTTGCAATTTTAATCATAGCCTTGATTAATCTCCATTATAAATTACTTCCATTGGCTATGACAACAATTACTCAGTTCATTAATCAAAATTTAACACCATGTCAAGTTTTGATTAAAGAAGGCTATTTCAACCTAAGCACCATGCTTCATTTAAAAAGCCTATTGGTGTATGAAATTCGAATACACCCAAACCAGAGCATTCATCATAACCAGAGGAAGTATGAACTTCAATCTATCTTTTTATGGGGAAAGATATGAGTAAAGGAGTTGGTGGACAATGAGTGACCTTTGCATACCTGAGTATAATTACCATCAGCATATGTGGATCGAGGTTGTGAGACTGCTGCAGCGGTGGCTTGATTGTAGTGGTAAACAAAGGCCTTCGAAGAGGAGAACCCTTCTTCTCTTCTTTTTTTGTTTAGCTCTTATATATTTTTGACTCTTTTTTAACTTTCTTTTTTAGCAAGGTAGAGCTGACATCATTTTCTTTTCTTTTTAACCAAGATGGTCTTTGGTGTGAATGGAACTTGTGGTGAGACTCTCACCATCCTCCCCTACACTTGGACTTTTGTGTAAAAGTCAAGTGTGTTATGTCGGGGTCTACTTTTCGAGCGTGTTCCATCACCAAAGATAATCAAGGTATGTAGTCGATGTAGCTTCCTTATTTTTAGGCATCATATGTCCCCTGTTCTTCTTGATCTTTACCTGAAAGGATTAGCACACAAGAATACCCAAAGGTGCATACTATCCTGACAACATGTTCTCGCTTTTATTGAAAAGGAAAGTTGGATTTTTTATAATAATATAATTTCTATGATTGTATATATATATATATTTGATAATCCGGGGTATCTCCCAGTAGTGCTTAATTTATGGTCTTAAGCTTGACCATGGGAACTTCACCTTGCATCTATGAATGGTGGTATAGTTCCCAACTTCATCACCAAGCATTTATCATTTAATGTTCAAGCTGCAAGGTTAGTACCACAATGCCATTATGGGATTTGCAATATTTATGATAAACGTAATCATCAACAACCATCCTCTTGAAAAAGTTTGAAAATGAGGATCGAGAGATGGTTGTGATCCTCGTAGGGGCATGTGGGACTAAACAAGATGTCCATGGCACATAAATTTTTGCTTTCAAGAAATATATCGTTAAGGATCAACATTGAATCTCGACCACCATCAAGAACAACATTTTGATGGCCAGAGGGACATGGTTTGTGTTCGAGCGAGGGTGATGGTGAAACGAACAGGGTTACAAACTTCACCTCCTCGAATGGGTCTTGGTTGGGGTAATGCTTCGCCATTGGAATTTTTGAGTGGGTGGCGAAAGTAGTTTTCCCAAACTTCTCATCAAGGCTCCAATGGGAAGGTTTTTCTTTGAAAAGTTTGTCTAAATGGTAGCCTATGAGAAGATCAAACTCAAGGTTGGCAAAGATGTGGAAAATCTAGATGAACCTCAGTTTCATCAATTTCAATTGGTATGTCCCTGACAATCCCACTACACTCAAAGATGAGTCTTGAGGAACTTTTGAAAAGTTTGTTGGTCGGGATTAGCGACATGTTGCCCAAAAGATTTTTCGCTAGAAATTCTGACATGATGCTAGTCCCAACTGTGGGGTTGTGTAGGGCTTCTATGTTTCTTCCCCTTAATGAACAAGGCATGGTCATGGAAGGTGAAAGAATCCGAATTGCTTCGGTAGAACGTTTTACTTCCAACAACCATTCCTTTGATGGCTCTATTTTAGGGAAAACTTCCTCAGAAAGAAGTGTAAGTTTTTCGTGCCCAAAATATTTTGAGGTGTTGCTGAAATCCCTAAATTCGACAGGGAACTCCGAAGGATAAATCACTCTTTCCTTCGGTGTTCATGGTTCGGGTGAGGGCTCATTAGTCAAATCTAGGGATGGTACTGGTCTAGATTCGACTGATGAGGCCTCCTCAACGCTCGACATGACTTTTTCCTAAAGGATTCTATTTCTCATGATGGGGGAACTGTAACTTTCTAGGAAGTTTTTAAGGAATTTCACTTGTTTCGTCATGGGTTTGTGTGTAAACCGGCCTTCGACAGTCGCGTCTAGGCATAGGTCAGCATGCATGTCGATACCCAAACAAAAGAGTCGTAGCAATATGCTATCGGGTAAAGACGAGTCTGGGCCGATGTGTATTAATGCTAAAAATCTGGCCTAGGTTGCACCTATAGACTCCTTCTCATACTGCTCAAAGTCAAGGATCGTCCTTGGTAAAGAGTCGATACATGACATAGGGAAGAATGCAAGGTAAAACTTGTCCTTAAGTTCATCCCAATCCCCATTCGTACTTTCTACGGCGTGTGTGTACCATTGCTTTGCCTTCCCTAAAAGAGAGAAGGGAAACAACTTCCACCTTAGTGTTTCCTATGTCATGCTTGAGATGCTCAGGCACGAACACATTTCCTCAAACTCTAGCAGGTGATTGCAAGGGTTTTCATTTTCAAGCCTAGAGAAGAGTTGTGCCCAAACCATGGCTATCAAGCCAGGATAGAGTTCATAGCTAGATGAAATCTTTGGTTTAGAAGGTCGCTTAGGGAACTCGCCCTTTGAAGCAGAAAGGGTTGGATTTGGTGTAGGCTTCATGGTAAAAGTATTTTTTTTGTGTTTTTTTATACAAAAAGAAAAGATACAGATACGAGGATGAACTAGGTTTGAAGAAAGTACGGCAACCGTTCCCTGGCAATGGTGCCAGAAATGCTTATTCGTATTTCTTAACGCATACAGAAATAATCCACAAGCGCACGGAATTACCGTTGTAGCACTTCACCCGGAAGTATTCAGGGTATCGTATTTTCCACATGGAACGGAGGTACTCTTCTAGCTAGTTCGTCCAACGACAACACAAGGCTAGAATTAGCAGAGGTTGAAATGGATTCCTATGGTTTTACGGTCTAAAGATAGATAAACATGACTCCTACTTGCTCACTTTGGGCGCCAGCTTACACCTAGTCTACCAAGCGATACTGGCCTTCGCTCTACATCGAACCCGGACATGGGGGAGTACGAGGGATAGATAGGGCTATCACCACCTGGTTCCTACCCCTCAACCATGGGGAACGAAGCAAATGAAGATAGCTTCTAGCCTAGACACCATGTCTATGCTATCAACTATTACTCTAGCGTGCATGCAAGGGTTATTAGTCTCTATCAGGGCCCTTCTACTAGAGTACCTGCCACAAGGACGGATGATGAACCCACGAACAAGTAAGAGTATAGCTTAACTAGTCAAAGACTTTATACCAAAGGAACCACGAACACTCACTTAGCGAGAGAACCCGTTGAAGTAAAGTTGCTCATCGAGGTACAAGTTGGGGAGACACCGACAAGCCCGGCTCTTCCCTAAACTCTCTCTCACATCTCTCCCTTACTACTCTACTAGCTACTAGGGCCTAAGCCCTTTGGAGTGTTGCTCAAAAGTGGAGAAGCTCTTTGCCTTGTGGTGTGTTTGGAATGAGGAGGGGAGGCCTCCTTTCATAGGTGGAGTAAGGCGATGTGTGCGTCTATATTTGGCGTGAAGCCTGGTCTCCACTGCCTCTACATGGGGCCATGTGACCACCATTCAAAGGAGTGGCAGAGAGGTGCTAGGCACAGGGCTGGCGACCCTAGGGGTTGGTTGACCCCTGACCGGGCCCTCTCGCCACCGCCTTTGCGTGGTGGGCCTCTAGGGTGTATAGGTCATGCCCGTGAAGTTTTACGCCAATTGGAGATCATTTGATTTGGGTTTGGGCTCTCTTTCTCCACATGGTTGGGCCCTGATTTGGCTTGGTAGTGGGCCTTCTCCTTCTAGGCTCTTTTTGCTTTGCACAATACCGTGTCATACTTTGTTTCTTTGCGCATTTTGAATGTATTTTCCATGTATTCCATGAATGCCCTCCTGCAAATGGTCAAACACCAAAACTTATGGAGATTGTTAGTTCTAAAACCCTATGTCTAAGCTTGGTGTTTATTTCAACAGTTTTTATATGATAGTTGGCGGTTAGAAATGTGAGTTAAAGACCGCCAACATTGGCGCAGAGACCCGACGAGTCCTCGAACTGCTGACTTTTCCACTAATAAAATGGAAGGAACCTAGGTGATCCACATCGCTAGGATCCTTCCATTTTCTAGGGAAGGACAATGGGACAGGGACTCGATGGGCCTCGGCATAGGCAAAGTGTAACACCCTAAAATTTCATTTGCAAATTAATAAGGAAAATGTCCATTTTTGGCCCTATAACTATGGCTGCAGTTTGTTTTTAGCCCTCTAACTCAAAAACCAGACACGCGCAGTCTCTTAACTCTCAAAACTGTTTAAAATTGGCCCTCGCGCCCATTCGACTGTGGTTTAGGCCTAGTCAACCCGCCACAACCGCAGTTTCAGCCCAGTCTCCATGTATGACGAGCCAGGTCCACATCGTGAGCTTTAATCATCACGGTGCTTTCAGCCACAGCCGAGGCTGAGGTCGAAATCGATGCCATCGGTGACCGCCTCGACGAGCTCCTGTCTAGCGCCTTGCCGTCGTCCTCCCACCCCCCCCTTGCATAGTTGTGCACGTGTGCTCTCATCTCCCTTAACTGCTCTGACCAACCCCACCTTCTACCAGCTGCCCTATTCCCTCTACCCCTGTCTTCTTGACGCCTTCAAGCTCCGACTCTGAGCCACCACTCTCTCTGTCCCTCCGCAACAGAGCACGAGTAGCACAACCGCCACTACTATTGACAATGGTGGAGCCCAAGTCGTCCAAGAGCAGCCATGACGGGGCCAGCGGGGCGGCGTCCAAGAAGTCCAAGTCCAGTAGCACCGCCGCGGCCACGCCGGGGGACGTTGGACATGCACTTCGTGCCGTGCGCGGACGTTAAGGGCCTCCGCTTCGGCGCGCAGCTCATCATGCGGGCACGCACCGTGCGCCGCACTACGCTGCTGGAGCTCCCACACCTCCTCCATGCCACGCCCTCCCCCACCCCCTCCCCCACTGGCGCCGGTAACGCCACCACGGACGCGCTATCATTAGCGCCGACGACGACGGCCTACATCCCGACCAACTTTGCCATCCTGTCGCACCATGCGTGGCACACACTCACCTTGGGCCTGGGCACCAAGAACTCCAAGGCCGCCGTGTTCGTCTTTGAGTCCGCTGACATGAAGGCCACTGTGGACGCCGCTTGGCTGGGCGTCGTCCCGCTCGGCGACGTCGGCCGCCGCCTCATCCGCACAGCCCCAGGAAACCCCGAGATGGCGCGCTTTAAGTTCTGCAAGGGCACATCCCATGCACTCACCTCCCAGCTACTAACGATGAGCTCCCCACATAGTAGCTCCCCATCCGCAGCTGCAGGCTCCTACTGCACTGACGCCGACGCCGCACGCAGTGCTGAGTTCGAGCTACCACTGGAACAGGAAATGAAAGCATGTCGTCGTTGTACAGGAAGGTAACACAGATGAACAACAGACGGGGACGACCCTGCGGCCTCGACCATTGGACGCCATGGAGCTCCGGCTGCGGCCGCTCGACACCGTGGAGGTCGGATCACGGCCTCGACGCTCGCCCTCCCCGTATGGCTGCTCGACGCCATGGAGCTCTGGCTACGACCACTGGACGCCATGGAGGTCTGATCGCGGCCTTGATGCTCGCCCTCCCCACATAGCTGCTCGACGCCATGGAGCTCCGGCTATGGCCGCTTGACGCCTGCCTCCCCGTGCGTGGCCACTCGACGCCGTGGAGGTCCGGCCATGGCCGCTCCATGCCCGGCTCGCTCGTCTCCCCATGCCGACCCACCTCAATGCCATGGAGGTTTAGCCGTGGCCTTCCTCCCTGTGCCGCTGGAGGGTGCGTAGGTCAGCATCGAGACACCAAGGCCACGGTACAGGCCGCGCATGCCGTCCACAAGTAGGATCTTCTGGCTAACGACGTCGACCAGGGTCCACACCACCTGCGTGGCTACAACAGCAGAGACACCGCCCGCAGCCGAGGCAGCAGCAGAGGTGGCCAGTTCTGTGACATCGAGGAGGAGCGCAACGGAGCACACGGCGCTCTTGGTGTGCCCGTACATGCTCAAGGAACAGCGGAGCGCCCCTCCTCTCTTGGCCTCCACCTTGGGCAGCCGCCACCGCCCTCAATCTGCTGCTGTGGCTAGCCCCACAGTAGAGCTCTGCCTTGGCTCGTCGGAGACCGCCACCGACCTCCCGCCAGCCTGAATCGGCTGAGCACTGCCAGACCCGAAGGCCACCTTGGTCCACGGCCATTTGAAGAAGCCGCCAAAGCCACGCTCGCCTCAGCTGTCGCAGAATGGGCTAGCCACTGCTCGCCATCGCACTGGAGTCGAGCACCGTAGGAGGCTGCTCACCCGACTCCGCTCTGCTTTGCCGAGCCGCATGGGCCACGGAGCCCTACGCGACGAGGCCGCAGGAACACCGTGCCCGCTCGTAGCCGCCCTCGCCTGCCGCGTCGCTGCGACTGAAGCCACCATCGCGGCGAGACGGACGCCACCTTGGGCTGCTGTGAGCCGCCGCCTCTAGGCCGAGCGCCGTTGCCGCCCAGCTCAAGTCGGAGGCTGCTCCGCCGAGGCCCTAGGACCGCCGCCGTGGCCCCGGTGCCCTCTGCCCCCTTCGTTCCACCCTGCGCTCTCTCTCTCCTTCCCTCTCTGCTCTCGCTCATTGACCGCGCGACAGTCGCGAAGGGATGAGGACTGGGCCGAAACCGCGGTCGTGGCGGGTTGACTGGGCTGAAACCACGGTTGAATGGGCGCGAGGGCCAATTTTAAATGGTTTTGAGAGTTAAGGGACTACGCGTGTCTTGTTTTCAAGTTAGAGGGCTAGAAATAAACTGCAGCCATAGTTAGAGGGCCAAAAATGGACGTTTTCCAATTAATAATTAACTTTGAGCAATTATTTGATTTTCTATGCATTTTAACCTAGGCCAAATAATACATTTTGGTTAATTAAAATTAACTATAAGGTTTAAAAACATGTTTGTTGCATTCATGCCAAAGCATACTATTTTTGGTTGAGTGTAGGGCTAGGTTGTTTGAGGTTGAATTTAAATTTCATTTGAATTTGATCAATTTTCAAAGCTCGTCAGCCTGGCACCGCGCGCCTACAGCGCGCCTACAGCCTACAGCCTGGCAACGTGTGTGCCTACAGCCTGGCAACGCAGCCCAGCTCGGCGCTTTGCTCAGCCCAGGCAGAGGCCTGCCCCCTGCCCATGTCACGTGCTGCCTCTCCCTCCTCTTTCTCTAGCAATCAGGACCCGCTCGTCAGCCGCCCGCTCCCCTTCCTTCTTCGTCCCGGTGATGGCGCTGCCATCTACGGCAGCTCACCACCGTGCCGTGCCAGCATGGAAGGGATTCGAAATCCTGTGATTCGTAGCCCGCTGCGCTTACTTCCCATCTCTGCATGCCTGCTCGCCTATAAAACCCCAAGCCGAGCCCCTCCCTCTCTCCCTTTTTTGGCCGCATCCGAGCTCGCACCACCACCCCACAATCCACCGCTCTGGTGCCCAATCGAAGTCGCTGACGCACCCGTGAGCTCCGCCGTACTCCACCGGAACCGTAGGTGCCCTCATTTCTTCATTTTGGTTATGAATCACTCAGATTCACACTCACCCGCGCCCTTTTTCTCTCTCCAGCCGTCGTCGTACGTCGCCAAACCCCTTCGGAGCTCTCTCGGACGCCGCGAACACTTCCATCGAACTCGCGTTGAGCCGCTCGAACTCCCTCGTGCCTTCTTTTTAGTAATTGATGCCCTAGAACACCGTATCGGCGAGCTCCAGTCATGCCGGCCATGGCGCCGCCGTGTGAGCCGTTGCCTCAATGCGCTCCCCGTCCCTGTTTTGGTACCTGACCGAGTTCGCGATAGCCTGTGCTTCATTCCCGTGCAATTAGTTTCAAGCTAGGTGGTCCGAAACGCCGTATTGGCGTTCGCCGTGGAGCTTGGCTCACTGCCAGCCATGGCGAGCTCATCGAAGCACTGTGCAGGTGGTGGCGGGGGCTTCTCCCTTTCATTCCTTGCCGTCAGATCTACTCGGACAGCCGAGATTAAAACGTACCCCTTCAGGGTCATAACGGTTCACCGTAGGGCCGTGGACACGGTCCACAGCGCTGCGTCAGCGTGCCCAACACACACGTGGTGCACCGCACCACTCACGTGCGACCACGTGGCATCCAGTCAACAGCCACGTGGGTCAACCCGCAGTCAGTCAGGTGATTTTATAGTTTAGCCCTCGGGTTTTCAGTGAATCAACCCGCGGTCTAGTACAGTTCAAAAGAATTACTTTTCAGTCCTGTTTTTACTTGTTTTAGTCCCTGTAGTTTTAGGAAATAGTGTGCGCCATCCATAATTCATTTAAATTCAGATTTTATTAGTTTAAATTCAAATTGGAGTTCGGTTTATTTACAGAAATGCCATTGAAACTTATTTCAAGCATAACTTTTGTGTTTTAAGTCCGATTTAAGGGATTCTTTCGCTCATGTGTTCGTAGCAGTATGTAGATTAGTTTTATAAGCTTTTTAATCTATGTTTTACTATTTGGTGTACTATTCTAATAGAAGTGTATTTGTATGCATGTAATGATTGGATTGGATGCTTGATTGGTGAATTGGAACATGTTTAGAAGGTGATCAGTTTGAGGTGATTGAGGATCAGTAGGGAGGCTAGCAATACCAGGAAGAAAACTTTGAGGAAGGCAAGTGTAGCAAAGGCCCCTTGTACCTATGAAATCTACAATTCATATACATGCATGTGTTTAAATTTGAAGTACCCTTAAGGATTTTACCTAGATTACTACTTGTACCACATATCCTTGATACCTATGGTTTGGGATGCATTTTGGATAGATGCTGCAACGCTCAACATAAAATAATTGTTAAACATGACTATAGGTATTATGCAATGTGATAAAATAGAGCTTTTTAGCAACAACTAGGGGGCTAGAGTGCGGGGTTGAGTGCTCTAGTGCCTCTCCATAAGGACTGAATCCTGAAGCGGCCACCCAAGAGGTTTCGTACAACCTTGAGTGTTATATGGCTCTGACTTTAACCTGTTACCTAGATTGTACTAGCTCGTCTGTAGCTTTCCGTAAGGGCAAGAGGGGGGAAACTAGTTGGTATGTTTCTTTTCCTGCTAGGGTGTGTACCGTGCCATGACCACGAGTTCCACTCCTAGAGGAGGTGCCCATTTTAGGAACCTCTGGAGGACCAGATGGAGGATGAACCCATGGATGAAGAGACTGAAGAGGGGCCCATGTATGTGGAGCTCATAGAGATAGAAGAATCTAAGGAAGAGCCCATGGAGGGAGATGAATAGGGGGGTCAGGATGGAGCTGGTGACCCTGATGATGGTGATGATTCTGACAACTCTGATTCTAATGATGGGGGTAATGATGGTGGTGATGGAGATGGTGGAGATGGTAGCAGAGATGATGGTGGTGATGGTGGCGGAGATGGAGGAGACGGTGGAAATGATGGTGATGATTACCATGATGCACTGCTGGCTAAGGGGTGGACCACGAAGATCCACTATGATTTGTAGGGAGATGCATACTACCACCCTAAGCTTCTCTCACTTGTACGTTGCTACCACACCAGGTGCACTGTGCAGTACCGGACAGAGCATTGGACCCACCCCAACTACACCGGCTTCTGGGAGACAGAGGTGTACATCCACGAAGGGACTCAGGTGCGCTACATCCACCGTGCTATCACTGCATGGCTCACACGTGAAGCTTCCATCTAGGATGTTGCTCGATAGGCGTTGGTGGTCAATCGCGACCACCACTTCGATGACATCAAATGGGAGGAGGATCGTTATCTTCCCCACCGTCGGGGCAGCCAATCCACCTGCAACATCGCCGCACCACTTGGGGAGGAGAACCATAGGCCTAGGCCTACCCTGATAAGCTTGGCCCAGACCAACACCGACTTGGATCAAGCCTTGGATGAGCTAGATGTCATGGGGAAGGCCTACCTGCAGCTTGCCTAGGAGAATGCTACATTGAAGCAGCATCAAGGAGGTCCTGATGTGGAAGCACTAGGTATTCCTGCTCAATCTCCCCCAAGGAACAGAGGAGGATTTGGAGACCCCAACACCAGCACCAACATCGACCCATAGGAGGATTTCCCATAAATATGTAATAAACACGCATAGATGTGCGAGAGAGTAATTAGTTTCTTTTCTTTTTAATGGTTGAACAATTGATACTTGAGTGGTGGATGGTTGTCACGATGAACAATGTTTGATTTGGATTTTTGTCATGATTGCGATGACTTGTGGGCATGTCCACAGTCATTTAGCTTAAGATTAAGGTTTAAGGATGATATGAATAAATAGTTGGGTTTCTTTTTATCTTGCTCTCCATTTTGTATCATCCTGAGCAGTTCACATTTATCAGTTCATATCTCATGTTCTAGATGTCCAATGGTCATGAAAATTTTATGGAG